AGTTGGTACAGTATGTGTGAAAGACAAGTAAAAACAGAAAGCAGTGATTTGTAAATCAAGGTGGTGTAATCATATTCAGGTATAACAGGAGCATCCAGGAAAGGCCGAGTCATTTATGGGCAAGGATGAGTTGAGGCTCACCACTCATTCCAAATATGCATCGGCAAAAAATCCAGCCATTCAAGAACAAGGGGACTCTATTCACCAATAGCTTTTTCCTAAATTTGTTCTTGAGAAAGGTTCTAAACTGGAAAACTGGAAGGTCCCCAGTTTGACAGACCTGTATTAGTGGGTAAATTTAACATCCGTGAAAGCACCATTAATACTGAAACATGTACACACCATCTTTTTCAGGGATGTCCATGCTTATTTCAATATGACAGCAGAAAGAAACATTCTGCATGTGTTACAAGAGCATGGCTGCATAAGTGTGTCTGTCTTCTATTTAACATGATGCATTAGTGGTACATTATGCAAAATACGATGATAAAGGCCCCATATTTTTGCACAGCTGAATAAATGTATAACAGAAGAATGGCAAAATATTCCTGGATCAATTGGTGTCTTCAATCCCCAAATGATATTAAGTGCTGTTAAGAGGAAACATGATTTAGCACAGTGCTAAACGTGCAATTTTTTAGAACATGATGCATGCATCATATTTGGAATGACAAAAAACTATAAAGTTCCTTAAGTACAACATTAAATCACATGAGATCAATTTAATACAAGCCAACCAGAAATTACTAATCACTTGCATTCTGTAGTTATTGGCACTTGTGTCCCAACTTGTTTAGAACTGGGTTTGTATGTTACTGTGGTGGTTAAAACATTTAGCCCACAAGGGGTCACTGTCGCCTCACAGCAAGAAAGGTCTGGGTTCGATTTCCTGGCCGGGTAACCAAGACGTGCAGTCAGGCCAATTGGATATGCTAAATTGCCCATAGATGTGAATGTGTGTCTGCCCTGAAAGGACTGGCGACCTGTCCAGGGTATTTCCTGCCTTCCACCCAATGACCGCTGGGATAGGCTCCAGAACACCCTGCGATAATGTTGGCTTAGATAATGTGTTTTTGTGTGTTATTCCAACAGCCACAACAGCTTAACTTGAAAAGCAGAGGAGTCCTACTTTACTTGTTCTAATGGAAAGAATAGATGATGTATTATAAAAATATTTATACAATTGGACCAGTTCTACGAGAGATCGTCAAACTGCCGGTCTGCCATGACAGTCGACAGGAAGAAAGCACAAGGCCAAGCTTGGTGGTCATCATTGCTCCCCTTGCTGCAATCCTCAAAATTCAGCTTGTGCTACACTTTGAAACGTGAAATACGTGGTTTCACGTATTTGCGTGATTCACGCTTCTGGCCTTTTGTTGGCTCCCATCAAGCTTCTAGTTTTCTCTTTGTAGCAGGTTGTATGTTAGCATTGTATGTTAGTGCATAAGTCCTGCGTAGCCTTCACCAAAATGCCTGATGGACGCTGATGCACTCCAACACCCACCGTCCCATTCCTACCACAACACCCCATGTCACACAATCGGATCAGACACCGTCTAGTCTACTCGAGCTATGGCAAACCATGTTTTTGTCAGGCTGGGTCACGCTGTCGAGCGTTTGAATGGATTAATGGAATCGCGTGGCAGGGCTGGTCAGCTCCGTGATAAGGCTAACAACCATGCGTGCTAAGCACCATAAGGAGGACGGCCAATGGGCTCTGTGCTAATGACCGTGCATGAGAAGTGCATAAGGACTAGGGTCAATAAGCTCTGCGCTAATGCTAACGGCCGTGCATGTCAAGCAGATAAGGAGCAGGGCCTGTCAGCTCGGCGCTAATGGCCATGCATGAGAAGCACATAAGGAGCAGGGCTGATGGGCTCTGTGCTGATTCTAACGGATGTGCATGAAGAACTAAGCAAGCAGCAGTAAGGAGAGTAAGGTCATTGGGTTTTTTGGGGGGTTTTCTGTGTGTTTTTCCTCGATTGTCAGCCACGATTGTTGGGCTTCCTGCTCGTGTGACAGATTAAGACAACAGCTTGTTATTTACAGGCCTGTGGCTGTGCTGCAGAGGGCAAAGCCAGGCTGCAGGATCCATCACAACACATGTGGGCCAAAGTAATTGCCACGTTCCTCTCAAGTTTGCCATTTTCAGCTGTTGGCTTTTTTGGTTTTTTTGAGAGTTTTCTGGGGAAGAGACTAAACCTGTGGTATAAAAATAGAAAAAACACATTTAAGTGTACTTTAAAAAGTGTATTTAACATGAGAAGTACATATGTTTAATATTTCCACTTGAAACATACTTTAATACATACTAGATGTACTATTTTAGAACACTTAGAAGTGTAATCGCAATTAAGCTATGGTTAAATATATATTAAATGCAGTTAGTTATGCTTTTGAGTGCTTTTTTCATACAACTTAAGTTGCACTTAAGTAGATTTAAGTGTGTCGTTTGTAGACATATGTTACGGTAACACTTTCTATGAATCTCACATTTGTAAGCATCTATAAACACATTTATAACATGTTATAATGCATTCATAAGGCACCATAAACATGGCTATAAGTATTTATAAAAATGCATTACACATTATAGCCATGCTTATTATGCATTACGAATTGTTAACATAATGCATTATACGTACTGTTCATGACAAATTGTAAGAGCTCATGAATTGTATTTGTCCACTCTAAGTAAAGTCAAGCATACTGTACTAAAGCCTCCTCCAGTGTTAAGAGTGAGGCTTCAAGTTTTTCTTCAAGTATTTACTGAAGGATTTACTGAAACACTGAAACATACACAATAAAGCGCATTACAGGCTTCAAATGTCAGAGTTTAAACTAGTGCTGCCATCAGTGTTTTACCCAATGTGGGAAAGTCAATGTACACCACCGTTAGCTTGACATTAACTTAACACTGCATATCCAATAGAATGCTAGCAGAAATTAGCATTACTGTACTGTAGTGTAATGATGTTACACAGTGAAGGTTTCTGGTGCTTGACCTTAGAACCTGTGAGGGAACAAGTTACAATGACACAACACTACTATCTCACCTTTCCCTCTCCAGGCCTTCACTCCACAGTTAATGTCAGGGGGGTTCGGGGGTACTTGGTTTACTGTGATGTAATGTAACATTTAAAGTGAGAGCACTAGTTAAGAAAAGCACATTGTAGCAGTGATTCTAGGCTGGACAGCCTGTTTGGAGCATCTGAATATTCAGGAGTCACCAGAGCTGAGAAATAAAATACTGGAAATCTCAGGGCTTAAATAAACTTTGTATTTGTCTTTACACTCTCCAAGCTGAGACTGACTTCTTTGGCACTGACAGTATAACATGTTATTAACACTACTTATAATGCATTGTATTAACAATTCATAATGTATAATAAACATAGCTATAAAGTGTAATTCATTGTAATTCATTTTTATAAATATTTATAACCATGTTAATAATGGCTTATGAATATATTATAACATGTTATAAATGTGTTTATAGATGCTTACAAATATGACATTCATAGAAAGTGTTACCAGTGTTATTTAACTGAATGTACAGGGTGTCCCAAGAAATTGACATCATTTCAGATGTGAATATCTGAGTAACTACATGTCCGAGGCAAATGAAATTAAATAGGTTTCATGTTGAACAATACAAGATTTATTTATCAAAATTCAAACTAGAAATTCAGAGGGATGTAGATTTTATAACCGATTTCACAAAGCTTCACAAATGTAATATCTTCCGATACTGGTGTGCCATTCTTCAACCTGAAAACAAACCATTAAACATTAAACTTGGTTAGTTTTTACACATTTTGTTAAAATTTGAGATCATTTAAGTGAGAATTGGCTGTTATTAGACTACGAAACTAAAACACATTTAAATGCATTTCAAATTTCAATATTACTAAATACACCAATACATTCAACAAATAAGACATGTATTTAAGTTTACCCTAATAAAATATAGTAAAGTAGTTTATTACTAGGAATAATAAAGTACAACCTATATATTCTTAAATGATATTTAGGTTATGTTGAAACACATCTTTTATGCCTACAAGTGCTTTTCTGTTCTGAATTGGAGCAACTTATGTTGCGATGAAGAACTTAACACACAAATTCTAGTACATGTGAAACTATGGAGACCTGCTGGTGAAATAATGCATGGCCACGCCTTATTAACACATGAGAATGAGATCCTAATGCATGGCCATGACCTAATTATCTATTCCCATGCCTTACTAAGTCGTGGCCACGCATTAGGATCTCGATCCCATGCGTTAATACACCGTGTCCTTATTTTTGGGAACGAGATCATACCTTACTAAGCCATGGCCGTGCATTAGGATCTCGTTCCCACACCTTACTAAGTCATGGCCACAACTTACTTATCTTGTTCCCATGTCTTACTAAGTCATGGCCACATATTATTTTTATCTATACTGGATGTCATCAGCAGGGCTCAGTATGAAATGGATTTTAAATGTATTGTCTTGTTTGTACTAATGCGCATATTTGATTGCTAGTTAGTTTGATTTTTATTGCAACTAAATTGCAATTAAATTGTACTAAAGCATGCTTCTAAAGTCATTGCTTTAAAACATACTGCCTCTAAAAGTACACTTAAATTAATGACAAAGAAAAGTTTGTATAAGTATGCTGCAGTATTTTAACATACATTAGATACCTTCAAGTATATTTGTTAACGACATTCTAAAGTAGAGTTTAAAATGTTTGCAAGAAAAGAAAATTTAAAAATGTAAATTTAAAAAATGTACTTTCAGCATTCTCTATAAACGTCAAGTATACTACTGTTTTTTCACAAGGGCAAGTTGTTTTATGTGTACTGGTTGGTTTGTTGTGTCGTGGAATAGTGACGGTGGAAAATAAAGACTTGTAAGGTACTTTATCCAAAATGTTCATATGGAGTCAGCTGAAATGTAGGCCTCAGAGCATGTTGACTCATAACTCAACTTTCTGTCTGCCTTCATCAGAGGTGCCACCCAGTCCTGTGAAAACGCCCTCTGACAGCTCACCGGTGAGCTCGCCTCGACTGCGTGGGGACTCGGACCGTTACTGCCAGCTGTGTAATGCCTGGTTCAACAACCCGGGCATGGCCCGACAGCATTACGACGGCAAGAAACACAAGAAGAATGCAGCACGCGCCGACCTGCTGGAGCAGCTGGGCAAAACACTGGACATGGGCGAGATGAAAGGTAATGCACCACTCATATGCTTGGTCATCGAGGATATACTTCCCTCTGATAATGAGCCAAGGCTAATGAGGTCATAGATTGGCCAGTATCTACTAGCTACCACTCATCATGAGCCCAGTTAGCAGGTTTGGTTGAAGTGTAGCTAAGACCACCTAAACCAATGTTTGTAAATATATACTTATTCTGAAGTTGCGCTTGCAACCTGTTCCAGCCAAGTTGAGGCAGGGGGAATTTAAGACAAGGAACATTGTGAAATGTTCAAAATATATATATATATATATATATATATATATATATATATAGGTGCAACTATGCTTGGGTATAACAGGAGCATTCAGGAAAGGCCTAGTTTTATGAGCAAGGATGGGTCGAGACTTGCCACTTTGCCAAAAATGCATCAGCAAAAAATCCAACAGTATAAAAATAACATTTTTCAGCCTGAGACTGCATGGATTTCAGGTATTCCATCATCAAAAGATTCAGGGAATCTTGAGAAATCTCTGCACTGGCACTACATTAAAAACTGGCATGTTTCTATGATAAATATCACCACATGTATCTTCAGTCTCTAAATAATTCTTAAACACTGTTAAAAGGAAAGTTGATATAACACATTGGGAAACTCCTGTCCCAACTTTCTTGGAACGTATTGCAGGCATCAAATTTGGAATAAGCATAAAACTATGAAGCTTATAAGATAAACATTAAATATTGTGTTTTAGTACCATTTCAAATTTGATACAGGTCAAATTTACTAATCACTACTTTGTGTTTGGAATTGGGTTTGTAGCTCAGTTTGTATGTTAGTTCCTTTGTTTAAAACAACCTGCCAACGTGTCACTGGTGTCTTTGTGGCTTTGACTGTTTTAGTGCTGGCTTGGACATAAAACATCTAGTGTTACTTTGTTGAGGTCTATTCACACCGAGTCTGAATTTCATGGATGGAAAAATGCAAACCAAGTTTTGAAAATGAACACATGCATGTCAGTATTGTTTTCCACATTGAGTCTGAAGCTGACAGACTGCGACACTGCATAAAGTTTCTAATCGGAGCAGCTCAATTTCCTGCATTACATAGAAGCGCTGTGAATGAGGCTGGCCAATCAGAGCTCTGTTGTCACGGCAGCAGAGCCCATGTTGCACCAAAAATGATATGACAAACAATGCATTGACTAAAAAATGTAGAGGTTAAAGGAAATGTATAGCTGAAAGGCTGGAGAATGATGGTGAGCGTTGGGTTTTTTGTTGATCTAGTTGTGCCAGTCAGTTTATGCACAGTCTTTTTGTGGAACATTTATGCCCAATTAAAATTACAAATTCATTGAAGCAATTCGAGGAATCCACTTTCCCTTCCCTTTGCGTCTTTTTCTCGTGTTCTCAGAGTGTTTGTTTTGGTGTGAATATGCCTTACCCTTGGGGTAATTTTGGTGTCAAACAGCATTCACATACAACCTTGCCATGGCCTTGAGTGGAACAATACTGGTATGTGCTTTATCCTACCAAAAATGCCTATTGCATGATATACCACCACCGTCTATTTCGTTTCAACTAATTCCGCACTTCCAGTAGGGAATGTTTCCTGGATACAGACAGATTTGAGCCCCTAATGGCGATTGTCCATTGAAAATCTTTCTTTCTGTCCTGCACTAGGCTTTATCTCTGTCTGGGAATCCAGCCCAGAAAGCGTCCGGCTCTCTTGCGGCAAACCGCAGTCACAATGACCGACTGCTTTTCCACCAATGCACACAGATATCACAGAGTGTGGTGATGGGAAGGTTCTCATTAAATCCGAAAATGTCCCCTGCTGCTGTAGCTGTCCCCTGGTCCCTCAAGTCATGTCAAGCAATGGGCCCACAGCTCAGCCTGTTCCTTCCTAAAAGCTCTCTGGTTGTCTATTAACTTACATTATATCAATAACAAATGCCAGACCCTCCTCTTGGCATGAGAGAGGCTGGGAGAGTCTGGAAATAGTGTGTGCATAGGAGAGATTGAATTCTTCTGACTAGGTTTTATGAATGATGCTAAAGCTGGGATCCTCATAAAGAGCATTATTGAGCTGAGCTGCAAGCAGAGAACTTTCCTTTTCTGCATATGAATGCAAAGGAGAAAGCTTTGTTTAGCCACAAGCAACACTCTTAAAAATCAAGATTCTGGGCTCCCGAGTGTTGCAACCTTCTTACTGCCGAGTTTGAACCCTCGCGTTCTTTGGGTGGACAGGATGGTCCTCCCTCTCCCATCACTCAGCATGATGCAAGCCACCTGTTATGTTAGCTGGCATAACAGAATTGGCATTTAGAATTTTCCTCTAAGCACGTTGAGCTGTCCGGTGATGTTGCATTAGCAGCAGTTTGAAAGGAAGCCGTAGAGCTTTAAATGCCTTGGATGGAGCACTTGTTAGAACCTTTATATTATGTGAAGAAAAAGGTTCCTCACACTCATGAATTTCATTTACAAAAAGAACCATCCACTGAACAAGAACGATCCACTGAAAGGTACTTTAAGGAACAAAAGTGGTTCTCCCATATCGTCACTCGTATGGTAGAACCTTTGGGACCATTTGGTTCCCTAAAGAAATATCCACTGAAAGGTTCTTAAGGGAACCAGAAGTGTTTACCCATGTCATCACTCTCAAAAACCCTTTTTGGCACCTTTATGAGTGGAAAGGAGCTGGATAAAGTCTACAGTAACCAGGTATGTAAAATTGTCTATGTAAAACAGTATTATTACAGTAAATGTTCTAGATGTATGTCTATATAGTTGGCAATCATTGAAGCACTGCTGTAGCTGAGGTTGACATGGGATAATATTTAAGCTTGATTTAGGATTTGTGTTGGGAATGGGGCAATTGCTTGTCTCTGTAGTACAACTTGATGGACATGTCAACTTTGGTTACTCTTGCTTAACTCCCAAGTGGCGTCTAACCAGTGGCCCTATTGTCAAGAGATTGCGAGCTTGAACAATGGCAAGGCTGGGAGTCCAAGAGAGCATTTGCAAGTTTGGACCATGCTTTAAACTTAGGGTGGTAGTATTTGGGGACACTATGACTAAAGGAGGAGAACTTGGGCTTGAGTTCTGAGTGGCTTCTGTTTGGAGGTGGTAGAATTGATAAATTGACAGAAAGATAGGGAGGAGGTGGGGTGGTGGTGGGAATTGCGACAACTTTGTCACAGGACAGGTAAGGTAGAAATGGGGATTTATAGGATGGTAGATTGGAAGGAGGAGTGATTTCAGCCATGGTCCTTCCCTCAAATTTCACTTATTGCATAACATCATTAATTGGTCTCATTTCAGTACCCACCCAGCCATTCCAATCTCCCACCATAACTCGGTGCAATGCAAGCCAAAGCAAGCATCTGTTAGCTGACAGACCAGAACTGGCAGTTAGTGCTCTCCTTTAAATGTTGAGCTGTCAAATTATGCAGCATTAGCAGCAGTCTGAAAAGATGTGGTGGCACTGTATGTGTTTTGGATTAAGCATGTGACAGCCTTCACTCTTTCAGCTTGGTAGGATTGTGTGATGGGGGAGACCTAGCTAACTGGTGGATTAGGACATAAGAAAATTGGGTAAAAATCCAAAAAAAGTTGTTTAAGTGAAGCAGGTAGAGACTATTAGACAGGCAGTGAGGTGTGAAGCGACACAGCAATATTTTCTGCAGTGGTCAGGATGACGCTATGCTGAGACACCAGCAATAACTGTGACTTCCAAGGCTTAAACTCTCCTCAACTCCTCATGCTCAGCTCTGCTCTGAGCACTAAAGATGAGGGGGCGAGGCGAGACGCTTCCCTCCCCCGTGTTCACCTTGGCCGCCTGTTTGCTAATGTCACGCGGTCATTACCCCCGGCCCATAAATGTCAGCACAGGCGCGGCAGGATTTGGCTCGGCCTTAATGGGGGCCCTCTCACCACGGCAATTATCAATTAGTAATGATGTGGCAAATCATCCTAACGGGGAGAGCCGGGAAGGGAAAAGGGAGGGCAAGACAGCAGCAGATAGAGAGAGAGAGGGAGCGAGCAGGGGTGCTTGAGCACGGCAGTGGAAAGATGGGACTGGGCTACTTAATTCATTGGGCCGCGCAGCTGCTGGTGGCAGCCTCATCTTTCACGCAATGAGCATGCACCCAGCACTTCCAGGCGTCGGATTTTTTCTCTCTTTCTCTCTGGAAGAGCTCAGCTTCTGTACCTTTTCCTGCAGTATCCTTTCCTTTCCATTCTCTGTGAGAGCTGGCTGCTGTGCAAGGTACCAGAATGGGGGAGAGAGGGAGAGAGAAGCAGCCGTCAGACTTTGAAGATTGCCACATGATAAAATATTCATAGATTTTTCAATAGAGTGCCTTGTGCCTGTGTTCTTATGGCAAGGTACACCTGGTCCTACCACAGCATCGGACTGCAGCCCATCCCCCCTTTTGCACATGGCTACACCTGCCATTATCTCTTGCATGCCACGGACCACAGACTAGTTCCCCATTCCCGCACCGAGCTGAGAGGCAGCGAGCTCGGAACGCTCCTTTTCATGTCGCCCTCGCTCTCCTTTCATCCCTGCTCTCTCTCTCTCTCATCCTCCGCTCGTCTGCACCGTGTTGACCCCATTCTATTATCCGCCGCTTTCCACACGTGTTTTCCGGAGGGCCACCTTAGAACGAGGCAGCTTCACCTGGCGGCGAGCAGGAGAACCGTCCTGATTACAGAGTGGTGAATTTACAGCCCTCACACTCAGAGTTTAGCCTCAGGCATCCGGTAATGGTCATGTTTAAGCTATTGCGAGGTGAACTCAAGAACGGCTTTCTGCCTGTCTTTGTTTTCTGCCTGTCGCTCTGTATGTCCCTCTACCTGAAGGCTGCACGTTGAGACAGCATTTACATGAGAATTTAGCCAATTTTTTAACATTTTGACCAAACTAAATGGTTAAGATTTAAACAAAGTGATTCAGAGTGGTTTGATGTGAAATGCTCCATTCTTACTGGTTCAAATTTGTGGCTGTAAAAGGGGTAGTATCTTTCTGG